CATATACATACATACATTTAAATAATTATAGAGTTCATATGAATGACTTTTGCAGTTGCGGTGACTTTTGACGCTGTTTGATGTGGGTTCAACTACGTGCTGGGCGAAGTATTTCGTGTCGTTTATTTCTTTATTGTTTTCATGCACTTAAGCAATAAAGGAAATAATTAAAAAACAAAAACAAAAGCTCGAGCTCGAGCTCCATGCGATATTATAATAGGTGTTTTACTGAATTTAATTAAAGTTTCATGGCGCTTTATTCATTCGTTAATAAAGTAGCGTAGCCACAGGCCGTTAAATTAAATTATTATTAAATAAGTTAGTAACTGATGCTACAAATATTTATTTAGCCTAATCTGAAACGTTTTATGTAGTTGTTCATTTAATGGCTACTTAAGTTTTGAAAATCTATGCGCATTACATTTTCTAAGAGTAACATCTTAATATTATTTGCAATATCAATTGAAATATTTAAAACTAGAAAAGCTTTACAACCCTCAGCTACTTAGCTGACATCCCTTTCGAGCTTGAAAGCTGTACCAAGCTTTTGCAAAAATGTGAACTTGGAAAGCATTTCGGCTGTAACTTGGCACAGGGTGTACTTGTTTGCATGGACTTACAACGAAAGCGGAGTTCGCAACCGAATTAACGGAGAGAATAAATATTCGCAGAATAAATTCTTAAATCGTAATATTATATATGATAATACACATAGTCAAGCCCAAGGAACTGTTGTTTAATTTAAGCTAGTATTATATATATTAGCACAAATTGTAAGTTTTACATAAATGGGATCTGTTCTCTGCATCTAATAATGTGCATGAATATTCACGTTTCCACTGCGTAACATTACACCGACAAGCTCTACGGCCCGCTTAATGTGACACTCAATTTATTTTAATGGAAATGTTTTTTTTTTTACTTGTTGGCTTTGTCAAATCTTAAAAATCTCACCTTCATTTTGCGGGCTTATATGGCTTTGAACAGCGTGAGCCGCTATAGCACCAATAACTATGTAAAGCGAGTGAAAAGACATAATTGTATTCACTGGGATGCACACAACAAATCACTGAGCTTGTAAGAACAATTGTATATTACAACGCCGGTTAAAAGGAGCAGCTCTGCAGGCAGGTCTGCTGCGGCTGACGGTGGCCAAGGAAATGAGCAACTGCGTCAGACAAACAGTAGCCATCTGCTCAGAGTATAACCAGCATGTGCTTTGTTTGCGTGCCGGCCCGTGCATCGAAGTCCGTTGTCCGCATATGTGTGAAAGGACAGTTGCCCCCGTGATTCGTTCGTCTAGACGACTCCAAAAGAAACAACAACAACAACAACAACAACAACGACAACAACGGCAACAACTGGGAGCCAACAATCTTAATGTGTGCACCATGAGCTTTTGCATATGCTACATGGGCTTGGCCAGCACCCAGCTCCATATGTAGCTGGTTAAAGCTGTCAAAGGCTACGGAGTCTTTGCGGCAATGGGTGGGTCTGCTCGTATCCTGTCGTTTACTTTCGAATAAGCTACCGTTTTGTCGAACGGGAAAAGGTGTGGCAAGGTGTGAGAGCATTTTAAGCGCAGCTACTAACAAACAAATCTCGTGCTATCCCTTGCCTATAAATAAGTTAAACACCTTTGAACAAGGAAAGTGCCTTCAACATATTAGTGCTTCGAATAAATATGAATAAATAATAAACAATTATGTGTTAAATTGTGTCAAAGATGCTTGCCCAAATAGATTATGAAGCATTAAAAAATGTACTTTAATATATTTGGGTTTATAAATGTTTTAAAAGCCGTTTATATTTATTCATTTACCCGAATATAAGAACACAAAAGGACATTATAGTACACAACATCGGGTTTCCGCGCGTTTGGTTCCTAAAGATGCTGGAACTTCGTTAAAATGACAAAGCAGAATAAAACTGACAATTACTCGTTGGGTGCCGTGGTTATCGCGTCCATCACCCTTGTTGTTGATGATTGCCAGAGACAATTGGAGACTCATTTACATTTACCAAATGAATGCGAATGCGAATGCGAATGCGTCGGCATGTCGAGGGCAACGCCTGGCATTCAGCAGCCAGCAAGCACCATCCGCCCATATGACGGCACGGCATTGTTCGGCCAAATGCCTATAAGCCGTGCAAATTGAATTGCCAAGGTTACCAAAGGATCGGCAAGTGGCAAGCGGCAACCGTGCTGTCGTGATGACTCTTGACAAGCTGTGCTCCTCAACAGCTGCCGTATCGTGCTTGCATTGTGACAAATTTCATAATACCTAATAACCAAATACAAACACGCAGTCAAATAAACACACAATTAATTGTAATTAGTATCCTGAATAGCCCATTTAGTATTACAATCAAATATGGCATAGTTTTCTTTTCTTTTCAAAATAAAATTGATTTAATAAAGCAGCACATTCAACTATATTAATATAATAATACTAACTAGCGGCTATTGACCAGCCTTGACTGTGACAATTTCACCTTATTTCCGCCGCTTGACAGTCTAACTCTGCATCTTGAACTCCACTTTTATTTGAAAATATGTTGAAGGGTCCTTCGTATAATGAACCAACGTTTTTGTTAATGAAACCTTTGACCCGCATTTTCCATACAAGATATCGCTAAAAGCGTATCTTTACTTCGATTCATGAGAATCACATACTCATTAAAACTTGATCTGCGATTGGTATGAGAGAATATTCATATACATATATACATAATTACATACATATGTGCAATGAACATGAAATTACATCAATTCTCACATCCGCCTTACGGTTTGCTCTTAACGCAATTTTCTGTAGCGGTTTTTGATGCTCAACATTTAAATTTATATGTAAAAAAAAGTAATTTAAAATCAATCTTTTGCCTATTTCATTATTTCAACTTGTCTAGTTTAAAATTCTATAATAAATTCGTTTCGAATTTTGTATTAAAAGTTTTTAACTCTAAACTTTGAAAGTGTTCCATTATTATCAAATTAACTTATTTTTTGCTCAGTCTACACTACTTTAACTTTGTCAAGGCCGAGATTTGCTCTACTTTGGCCGTCTCGTATGATATGAGCTGTTAGTCACACACACACACATGCACATGTACATAAATATATATATATATATAAGCACACACATTATAAGTGGCTCGTATCCTGCTGGCAGTTGCAAAAGAAAAATTCAATTTTGTAAATTGCGCGCATCACAATAAATGCGAGGAGCAGAAAAAGTATGCAAAGAGGCAAACATTTGCTTAAATGCCAACAAGGGATTAATAGAGTAAACCAAAAGCGAAACAACCACAAAATATCGTCGACGCTATTTTTATTTAACGAGAAACAATCACAAAATATCGCAAAGTTTTCGTCTCCCGCCTTTATTAGGTGACAACACACGGAGCACCCACAACAAATTCGAAGGTCCCAAACTTGTTGGGTCCTGGCTGCTCGACTGCCCTTATTTTGTTAAGAAACTATTTAATGGGTTTTGTTCGGCGTTCCTTCTTTGCAAGCCCCAACAATTTGGAGCTTAGGACCAGTCCCAGGAGTGCAACATGAATTTCATTATGCAGCTCGGCGATGTTCTTGCAGCTGACAAGTTCGCAATCAAACGACCGATTTATGTGGACTTTTTGCCATTTAACAGTTTGTTGTGGTCACAAAAAGTGCATAGTTGAAATACTCGTAAATACTCAAACACGTAAGGGTTGACTAATTAATTGGGGGATTTCACTATAAAGTAACCCTAATGATTCGATCAAATATCGCATATACTTGCTCGCTTAAGCTGTTTGCCAAAAAAGCGAACTGCTACGTTAATTTCTATCTATCTAGCAAAAGATTGTGTGATGGATTTAAACATATATAAATGCTTAAAAATTTACAGGCACAGTTCTGCCTGCACGCTCTCTGTTGGCTTGTAGTTAATTGTTTTTTGGTCTAAACGCAATTTCCATATTCAATAGACGAGCCCAAAGGAAACCTGCTCGCAGGTGGAGCGTCTATTGGGAAAGCCACAACAAGGAGATAAATGTTGCCCAACCTTAGCACATAAGCTTCAAGGTTGACAGCTTTAAATGAGACATTCTATCATAATGGCATTGCTGCTGATATCGGTTTAAGCACAAAGCAAGGCCTATAGACTGACATGGCCCATGGAAACTTCTGCGTAGTTAGCCTTGTTAGCGACATGCCCCGAAGAGCGCATCACTGTCATTTGTGCTGTTAAACGGGCATTAAGCAAATAGATACGTTCAGATAAACAAGGTACAGGGAAACATAAGCCTCAAAGTTTTGCCACAAAGTTACGCCGTGACCAATAAAACTTTAGACGCCTAATGACTTAAATCACTTTAAGACTCAATCAGCATCTCGCCTCAGAATTATAATGATATTGGTGTTTAGGCCTGAAGTCTCAGTCGACAACTGGGGAGGTGGGTAGCAAGTTTTTGCTGAGGTGTGAGTCCAAATATAGGTAACTTTTATTTGTCTAATCACATTGTTAATGTAATCGTTTGTATTATTCGAACAAATATTTATGAAAACAAAGCTTGTTAGATCTGTTGTAAAACAATAAATGGATGCATGTTTGGTCAGAGATATATGTACTTATGTATTCTAAATACTTATCAGCTATGATATATCCGTATTTATCTAGCTAAAATGTGTGAGCTTGTGTTGCTTAACCAAGACCAACATTGGTAATTCAATGTTGTCATTGTTCGTTTGAGACTGCTTTGGGTTTCCAACTGTGCTGAGTTTCAGAGCAGAAAGCTTTTGCAGCCTGGTGGTGCTCTCAGAGCAGACAGCTAGCTGAACTGTTCGCACCCATAGGCGAATGCACGCGTGCTGTTAGAGCAGTACGACTATAGGGCTTGCGCTGCACAGGCAAAAGCTTAAGCAGACTCTTTGGAATTCTCTTAAATGTTTGAGTGCCAGCATCTCGAATCTCTGCGTGTGCAGTCGGCCAGCATCCTTATCTTGGCTCGTGTGCCGCTCAAGTGCTTGGCCCGCTTCTGTGCCAAGAGCTGCGTTTCAGTCCTTCCTCGCTTCGCACCTTAGTCAGAGCCAATCTCACAATATCGGACGCCAGCCATCAAAGTCATCGCCGAGTCTGGCGTTTCATCAGTTCTGTCGCGAACTGCGTGTTCAATATGAAACCTCTGGGACGCTTGCGTTCCCGTGCAAGTGAATTGAATTAAGGCACGGTTTATTTTTGAACGGAATAATCGATCAGAATTTTAATTAAACGGAGCAAACGCAAATGTATCATGATTCAAAAAAGTTCTGTGCCAAAGTGAATGGAAAGTACACCTTAAATTCAATTATACGATCTGAAAAAACCCAAAACTTCAAGAATTGGAAAAATTCGTATAATTTGGTGCTCGAATGTGTAAACGTTTTTGGAAAAGTTAAACTATTCAAGTTGTGAATCAGTCAATGAAGCTTGTGTACGAAATGGTTTTGTTTTTCTACCATGGCCCATATATGTGGATGGGATTGTGAAAATTGTCTGGCCATAATTCTCCGCAAATTGCGATTGAAGGAGGTCAACGACAAATTTGAATCGCTACAAACTCGCTTTGTCGGCGACTCAGCAAATTAACATACCACCAAAAGTGAATGTTGCTGTTAACGGAACTAGCATAAAAGGCTCCTTTGGACTCTATTACAAATAGATTCATCCAAGCAAACAAAAGCCAAGGCTACTTAAGTGATAAATAAGCATTCAAATATACAATAATACATACAACATTTGTGTGCTTAGAAGTGTGCCCAATAGAAAAGAAATTTCAAATAAATTTAACGCTGACTGCCGAAAAGTCTGTCCTGACAAAGTTTTATGAACCGTGTTGTGCGTCTTGTCAAGAAATCGACCCAATTAATGAGAGATTTTGACAGTGATGTGACGGCCGAAAAAATAGAATAAGCCAAATTGTCATCAAATAAGCCCGCGTTAGTTGGCTTAAGTGCGACTTTGATTGAATACGTCTGGAATTGTCTGACTTAAAATACTTACTATGCCGCAACGACAACTCACATTGGATTACAAATAAATGGAAAACTTGTAAGTTATTTAACAAAATATAAATTTAATGATATAATAATCGGACTCTTAAGCCACTCATTACCTGGCAATCCATCCATTTTAAGATTCACCTACAAATGATATAGTTTCATAGAACTGGTTTAGCTGGAATATAAACTTATGATCCCACATTTTGTCTTGCATATTAACATGAATTTCCTGTGATCAATACATTATTGAAAAAGATAGGCGATTTATGAGTAATACTTAGGAACGTCTCATTATAGTTGTATATTTTCTTTATCTCTTCTTTTAGATATCAATCTTGAACTTTGACTGCAAGCACAGCCCATTCGCTGTCTTGATCCAAAATCAAGTGTCCTGTATGCAGGCCTGAGAAGTACTGAACAAAGCGACAAACAGATCAAGTTCTTAAATATATGCGATATTTGCTTAACAAGTGAAGGCAGGCAGCCTAAAGAAAAACAATCTAACAATCTAAGCTCTGACACATTCAGTCAATTGAGCTGGCCCTTTCAGTCAGGGCTCTATTAGCATATGCTCTGATGCAGCTGCTGGCCGAGAGCCTCAAGCGAAGCGGAAATAAGTCCATTTAGGGAGCGGACAGCAGAACGGCTCCGAGCCGGGAACGCCGCGGCTGGACTCTAATTGCAGATGAGCATTGCTGCTGTCGGAACGCAAACGAATTGTGCGTAGGCCTTGCAAAGAACGTCTAACTACATAGAGAAATCCTTTGTCGAAGGAAGGGCTCCGTTTTGCTAACTGGTGACAGGCCCGCCCCACGGCAAAGGCTTCGAGATGGAGATAGAGATGGTGCCACAAGCCAGCCCGACCCGGGTCCGCACGCGGTCTCGCCTCGGCTGCCTGCGTCTAGGACTCGCACTGCTGGCCTTGATATTGGCGCAGTCCTTTGACTATGTTCTGTGCGGCGAGAAATTGGGTAAGTGGCTTTATCGTTTTCCTTATTTACAGCTCGGCTCACATCAGTGCCTTCGCGAATCGTGGCTGGCAAAATGACATCAACAACAAGAACGGCAGTGCAAGCTGCCACAATGTGTCCTTTGTGTCCTTTGTCTCTCTGTCGCGCTTATGTCTCTTATCTGTTATTTATTTCAGTTGTTATTTGACATTTTTCTGTGCCGTTGATTTGCTTGAATCTGGCGCGGCGAGTTCATTAAGGTTCTGACTTTCCATTTACATTCGCCCGCTTAAGTCGATGAAAAATGTGCAAAGTTTACACTCTAAAATACCCATCAGGCAGATCCCTAAGATTCCGAACTACTTTGTATGCCGCAAAGATATTACGCTCATCTGAACAATCTGTTACTATCAGGAGCTACAATTTTAATTGCCTTCCGAGTGAACGGTTTTAAGCGGCCTTTGTTCCTTCTTGTTCCTCTTTACTGAGAAGCTTTAAGAACCCATTGTCCTGTCAGCTATACCCTGTAGCCGAAACAGGTTGCGTGATATATGCCTATATGCCAAACAAATGCTGAACATTTCGAAATATCATATATCATGTTCAGTCGAACAATTTAATATATTTGTGTTCGTATAAACTTAAACTTAGTTTTATTGCGGATATACGGTTCACACATGAAATATAAAATTGTTGTCATATCCGAATATTATGCCTAAATGTTGTTGTATCAATTTAATTCTGGCTGCAAGGGATCTTCGTGACGGAATATTTCGACTTACTTGCTTTACGCTTTGTTTGTTTTTGGTGTAACGCAGCAGTTTTATGTGGAGAGCCATAAAAATGCTCCGAGGGGAATTACGCTGCTCCCTCCAGGTTCGGACTTATGCAGCATCGCATGTCATCGATGGAGGGAGGCAGAAACTTTGATGCTCCTTCGCTAACATGCCAACAACTTGATGCGATAATCAATTGGCGAAGTTGCCTTTTTTTTCTTTTTGTTCCTTTCTCTCTGCTTTCACCTCGCTGCTCGCTGATTGTCATCTGTCGTTGTTGTGCCTTGAGATTGATGGCTTCCAAAACGTTTTTTGACACGTACGTGCCGCGTGTGTTGCTGCTGCCTTTGTCTCTGCTATTGTCAGTAGGAACTCTACGCTATAGAGTGAAAAAAGCATTAAAAAAAACTGTGCGCCTACTTTTAATCTGAATTTGGGGGGGAGGAGGCGCAACAGGCGCATGTCCTTCTCAGATAATCGCAATATGCAAATGCCAGAAATTATTTTGGTCGCTGACGCTGTGGCATCTGTTTATAATTCTGTGAATTTGTTTTCCGGAATTTGATTTCTTACTTCCACGACGACAAGAAACTCAGCAAAATGTAGACTTTTACGCCAAAGGGGAGCACAGCACGACTCTTCACATTCCCTTGTGTATGGCAAGTGATGTGGGTGCATTTTAAATAAGTATGCGCATTTCGATAGGCAACACATCTGGTGACATAATCGAATGTCAAACCTTCAATATTTTAATTTATAATGAATTAATCATCCGTAGCAATATCTATGCACATATATCTATGAAGCTCTTCTCGACTGTCTGACGAACTGGGCCATGTAGAAGCCGCACCAGAGAGAGAGAGAGGAGATATTGAATTTTTTACTGTAAAAACATAATATCATGTAAGCTGAAATGGGGCCAGGACAATTCTAATCGAAGGTTTTTGTTTGCCAACCTGTCCGAAACTTATTTTCAAAGATTCTGTTAGCTGTTAGCATTTCGGGCTGTGGATATTCATTAAATTAATATTTTATTGGGCAATTCGTATTGTTTGGCATCATTCATTATCTATTGCTTGCAATTGGCAATTATATGCGAACAAAATTTGATACTGCGCTAAGCCTTAATCTTTAATTAATGCAGCTAATAATAAGGACTTGATATCAAATTAGCTTTATCTGCTTGTAGGGTATGCAAATACATATATGTGTATATATATATATATATATATATATGAGTGTACTTAGTACTAACAGTTATGCTAATGTGTGTGTGCTGCGTGATGGGTTTGACGTGGAGGTCAAATTTAATATAAAATAATGAACTTAACACTCGCAATTACAGGGAGAAATGCGTTTTTGATTGCTGCTTGCGGTGGCATTTACCCAAGATAAGCCTAGTGACAGCGACAAGGTAGCAACTGCACACACTCACACACACACACACACACACACACACACACACACACACTCACACACACACATGCAAAGCAAAGTTCGTGTATCCTGCAATGAGAGGCCGCAGAGAATCGCTCGAATCCGCTGAATAAATACGCCTGCTTATGGCACATGAATGCTAAGTAGAATGTGGTTGGGGATCCGTTTGGCAATGCGAAAGAAGTTTTTGCCAGGCATCAGAGCGGCACTTGTTTGCAGAGGGCAAACATCCGCATTAAAAAGTTATGAGCGGCAATAAAAACAGACGACAGACGACAGAGTTGACGCCGTCGTCCCAAATTATTAAGGATATGCCGCCGAAATGCCTCGGAAGCGCGTCTCGAGATGTGTGTATGCATGGGGAATCCCCATGCTCGTACGCTCCAAGCTCCACACGCCAAAAGCAAACAAATTTAACTTTGGTCTGGCGATTCCCATGAAGCGCATGCCATGACGCTTCCTTTGTCCGACTGCCAGCAAATTGTGGTAAAAGAGTGCCAAGCCGGCGCTAAGCTACAGTAATTATGGTGCAAGTGGAAGCAGAGTCAAAAGAAAACAGCATACACTTCAATTAAGCCAGATGTTATGAATGGATTCTTGCTGTCCGCAATACGTTGAACGGGCTGAACAGCCGAAGAAGTGCATCATTTCTAGCTGAAGGCAACAAAATAGTTACGTCTCGCCAGGCAGCTGACATACGCACATTTTTAAAAGCAAAGTGAGGCCTTCTCTTTAACTTTTTCATATATGTATAGAGACATGCGGACGCTTGTTAAGTCTCTACAGACAGAATACACAATGCCTTAAGCTTGGAAAGACGGCAACATGTTGCATAATTTTCAATCTAACAACTTTTATTTTACTCGCATTAAATTCTTTGACTATTATTATTGGTAAATCTAGCTATTTTTTGGTCATTTAATAGCTTGATTTTTGCATTTTTGTTTGCACAAAAATAATTCGTCTAGAATTACATGCATGCAGCTTCTATGCAAATATGCAGCTGCAAATAAAGCAAACCAGCTCCAGCTGTTAGTTAATAGATTACCAGCTTGCAGGCACTGAAAAGGGTATTATTTTTTGTTTGAGGAATAGTCAAGAGCTCCCAGCACAGTGTCCATCAATGTCGAATAATTTGTTGCTTTGTTTTGAAGTCGTGTTAATTACCCAAGTTCAAAAGCAGACGCAATCTTGAGTTGATTTCTTTGTGTACAAACCCATTACGATGTTATTGTTGTTGTTGGTCTAATGAAAAATTTCAAATTTATTTGGCGCACCCAAACGTGCCTGGCATGCCGAGCCGTGTCCCTGCCCCAAGTGGCGCCTATGGCAGGCGTCTCGTGAGACGCCGCTTGGCTGGGCCGATTTACATGCAAAGTACAATACTTAAGTCCCTACTGCTACTTCTTATAATTATGCAGTCACTGTATTACCAAGCTGTAGCTAGGTTATGGCAATGCATGGCCGCTGTCTGGAGCAGATCAAGAGAATCAACCATTGGCACCCACTTGGCGGCATTTGTGGCCTGTGCCAGTTGAATGCACAGGGACTGAAATGCAATCGCTGGCCGAGACTGCGTGGAGTGTGTGTGGTCAATTGATGTGCTGTCTGGTCCTCACTCAGCCTAGCACATGCTGATTTATCAGTTTGTTGGCCCCATTCATCGCCTGCCCTTAAGAGACTATATGTAGATACATACTCCCCTTGTGCGGGCCAAGCTGCACACCTGTTGCACTTTAGAACAACGATTGGAACTGATGGGCCTGACGTTAATTCTCGAAAGTCTATTTATAAACGAGATTTTATTTCCCCTCCAGTATTGTCGCAGCACGCTGTCAACGGCCCCCGCGACCTTTAGATATATTTGGAAGTGCCTGGCGAGGCTTTGTTGTTTTTCTAGCCGCAACACGTTTTTAAATTTTATTGTCATTTCTATGCAACATTAAAATATTAGTTTCAAATGGAAAACGACCTACAGTAAAAACAAACAAATGTTCCTTCCCTGCAATTACAGAACATTTTGACAGGCGCTTTCCCATGAATCATGCGTGCCCGCCGGATCTGAACTGAACCCATGTCTTGCCACGCCTCGCTATAGCTTTACAGATTGAGGTCGAGTGGGCAAACGATCTGTTAGTCGTTTCTTGTGTATGTGTAGAAAATGGATCAGAAATAGTTGTGTCTTGTAATTGGAATTCGGAAAGCCATTTTTATTTCTCTTTTATATCCTGTTGGAATACATGTATTCGCACTTGTCTTTCGCCTGGCAGCCATTGGCCATCAGGTTGGTTTTAATTCTGACTTGTGGCCAGTGGCTTCTGCTCCGTCACCAGCTACTGTTGCTTGCCCTGCAAACTTATTCTTTAACTATTTGTGGAATATGTGCAAACAAATTTCGTAAAAGTTTGTTGCTTCGTGTGTCTGCGGCTCTCACTGTAGGTGACTTAGTCCTGAGTCCTGTTCGACACATCCTGTCGTCTTCACTGACACACACTGAAAGTTGGGCACATGCATAAAAACTACTCCCCCCCCCAGTCCCTGCTGGATGCCGGCACTTACATTCCGGTTAAACGGGCAGCGGACGCACGGAAGCCCCTTTATAGTAGACTGCATAGCAAAAGTTTCTCAATGTATCACAGCATATGTGTGCGTGTGTGTGTGTGTGTGTGTGTGTGTGTGTGTGTGTGTGTGTAGATACGTGTGCTAGTCGTATTGATACCAACATAGCCTGGTGTGAGCGGCTGCTCGCTTCCGTTTTGCAGGAACTCTTCAAGCCGCCGCCTCGCATTTTAATACACCCCGGCACGA